CACTTATATATGTCAGCGGGGGGGGGGGGGGGGGCGACACACACTCATGCATGCAGTAGACTAGTATGGACGCATGGTGAGTCTGCTCCGCACCACCTGGCCGTTTAACCTAGAATATCCTGCTTGGTTTCACCATAATGGGGGCTCAACCCACACCATCAGAGAGCTGTTACCCTGCTGCACATGCTGGATATGCACCAGATGTCCAAAACAAAATCCAGACAGAAGCCAGCACACAAAGCCTCAACCAACCTCTTTCCCAATATGGCGCCTGAACCCCTCCACAGCCAACCAGACAATGATGGTCTTTTCTAAAGACTTGGTCTCACTAGATGATAGCCTTGGTCAATATCCATCTGCACTTGTCACTTCTGCAGATCCTGTAATTGAGAGGCCTATACACAAATTTTGCTCTTTTGTGCGACTGGAGATTAGCTTCCTGTAAGTTCTTGATGACGTTAGTATGAGAAATTCTCCCTCAAGAATCGTACAGATGATGCTACAGCAGTGTTGGACGGACACAAGGAGGAAGTGAAAGACCTAGAACGAACTAGAGCTCCTAAAAAAAAAGCCGGAGGATGCAGAAAAAAGAGACTATCATGAAAATGTAAGGACCTGCTGGAATCCGTGACTGATGTGCAAGGTAACATTACTGCATTTTTTCAGGAGCTGGCCCCAAATTTACCACTGGAACGTTTAGAGTTCGACCATATTCACAGGACCTTGACATGCAGACAACCTGAAGGTCCCCTGCTGGATGTAAGCCATTTTTACCATACAAAGGAGCATTTGTTGCAGACAGCCTGGGAAAAACAGGATCTCGCTTTCCAAACCAAAGTGTGCAGCTGTTTGTAAACATTGCAGCAACCACATATCGTAGACAGAGAAGCCTGAAACCATATCTACAAAATTCTGCAAGCCCACAATGTTAATTACAACTGGGGCTTCCCCTTTAAGCTGTTTATTGTTTATCAATACCACCAATTTCACATTTCATCACTTACAGACCTGCACAAATGTTTCTAGGAGATCAGCTTTGAAATACCTCTTGAGACATCCACATCTCAAGCTGGGGATTGACCATCCTCACCATTTTCTGCCACAATCTCTTTGCCTCCCAAAGATCTTGCTCCTGGTGTCTGAAGCTCTTAAGCCCCCAGTCACATTCAATTACAGACCCTCCAGACGACATTGAATTGAAGAGTACCCACCTGTTTACTCCTAGCCCTGTTACTACGAGGGACCCATTCTCAAGCCATGTTAGTCAGATTCTGTTGCGGTTTGCAACTTCTTATATTTCAGCATCTGTTGTTAGTCTGGTTTTAAAGCCTTAACACGCATTGCTAAGCCCTATTTGACCTTTTCATTTAAATTTCTAAATATGACTGGGGCAATGTTTCCTTTATACTGCAGCCCACAAATGATCTGCCTTTCACGCAACTCTGAGAACTCATGCCTTCCTATGTAGCTCTGTTGACTGAAAGCCCCCTTTACCTCAACTGAATTAGGATACTAGATACTCTTGCTGATGATAACAATACTGCTCACTTGTATTTTTTTTGCTTTATTTACTCTTTTATTACAAAAGGGTGTGGATGCTCATTACTACACTTCCATAGGGTAGCTTGCAGTCCGAATCCATCCATGAGAAATGCTTCCTCTTATTTGGATAATCCTTAACTTACTTTTTCAGTTCACATAAAGTCCTAACTTGCATTAAAGGAGAACTATACTAATGGGGGAAACTGAAGAGAGAAGCTGATTGGTTACAGGGAGAGCCAGCTGTCACTCACACAGCTGGGTGGATCCAGACATAATTGTTGGGATCCGTTTCAGCTGCGGCGTCTCAGTATACCGCAAACTGTAGCTCGCGGTATACTGAGCTTAGGGTGACGGGAGGACGCTAGTTTGTGTCCTCCCGTTACCCTTAGCAGAACTATGGGGAAAAGCCCCAACCCCATAGTTCTCCTTTAACCTATGGAGTGAACAGACACTAGTTTGCATTTGGGTCTTTGAAACTCAGTATCCACACATTAAGAGTTTTCAATTTACTGTTCCATAAAGTACCTGTTATGATTTCACTGCTGTTCAGCTGCTCCTCTTTTCACTCTTTCTGTCCAATGCGGCATCAGTGATAATCAGTTATGTACTACCTTTCACTCCTGCTTTGGTCTGCATCCCTGAAAGATGTATTGTACACTGTTATATACTTGTTTAATAATATCACACAATAGATGCTCTGTCTTCTCTACTAATGACTTGACCTTTTTGTAGTGTGTGGCAATTTGTTGTGTTTAATTTCTTTGATGTGTTACCATCCAAATTCTAACGTCCTTCAGTTTTTATATTTAAACATAGCAGTTCATCATAAGGTATAATTCATCTATAAGATTCCACTGTAAGGCCCTTTTCATACATGTGCCTGTCAGTCCCAATCAGCAGGGGATCCGTGCAGAATGTTTGTTCGGTGCCCCCAGGGGCGTTTTCCTGCCTTGTATTTCTTCTGGTGGGAGGAGGGTCTCTTTTGAATGTATACCACATATTCAGGTTTATAGAGCCCAAGCAACAAACCATCAATCTACATCTGTGTCGCTGTACATGCCACATCCATACTCACATCACAGTGAGTAGAAGCAATTTGCATATCTCTAGATACCGATTACTAACCCCACAGCATAGAGGTGCAAGTTGTGGCAAACATCCATAACCTTTAGTGGCATACAGTAATAATTCCATTACATATAAAGAGATTCTTATAACATTAGATCAGTTAGGTGGCGCAGTAATCACTATGATGAGAGCAATACATCTGTGTAGATACTA